TATATATATATATATATAATTTTTTTTTTTTTTTAAAGAAGAGATACCAAATCTCTCATTTCTCCCCAAACCCTTTAACAGACAAGGCCGTGTGAGGACACAGCGAGAAGGGGCCCTCACCAGTAAGAGGCCCTCGGCAGGAGCGAATCGGCCAGCACCTCGGTCTGGGACTTCCAGCTTCCAGAACAATGAGAACACAATTTCAGCTGGTAAAAGCCCCCCTCCCCGCCTATGGCATTCTGTTAGTGCCATCTGAGAAGACTTGCGTCATGAAAAGACAGGAAGAGGAATGGAGATAATTAGAAGGAAAGGTGAGTCACTTGGGGAAAAACATGTCAAAGAAAGCTGTCATTAATAAAGATCCTCTCCCACCCTGTGCCTGTCAATGAAGGCCCTCTCCCCACCCCCGTGTCCATTCATGAAGGTCCTTTACCCACCCGTGTTTACCAATGAAGGCCCACTCCCCATCCCCCGTGTCCATTCATGAAGATACTCTACCCACCTCATGTCTATCAGTGAAGGCCCTCTCCCCATCCCTGTGTCCATTCATGGAGGTCCTCTCTCCACCCCCATATCCATTCATGTAGGTCTTCTACCCAGCCCGTGTCTCTCAATGAAGGTCCTCTCCCCATCCCGTGTCTATAAATGAAGGCCCTCTCCTCACCGTCTTGTCTATTCATAAGGTCCTCTCCCCACCCCCACGTCCATTCACGAAGGTTGTTTCTCCACCCAGGTCCACTGTGTAAGACGTGGAGGAACTTGGGAGAGCATATCCCTCAGAGTTATCTCTGTACCTCAGAAGGAAGTGCTTTAATCGGAGGAGAAAGTTGGGGGAAAAGGGGACATTTGCAATACTCTAGCAATAAAATCTTATATAATAAAAGGCTAATATACAAATTGACTGAATGGTGGAATGACTGGAATGCTATGACATGCACTGACACTCAATGCAGGAGCTGCCCCTTGGTGGTCAGGGTGCTCCCACAGGGGGAGCACCGCTCAGCCAGAAGCCAGGCTTATGGCTGGCGGTGGTGGTGGGAGCCTCTCCTGCCTCTGCAGCAGTGCTAAGGATGTCCCCACAGACATCCCCTGAGGGCTCCTGGACTGTGAGAGGGTGTAGGCCAGGCTGAGGGACCATCCCCACCCCCCACTGAGTTCACGAATAAATAAAACGTGGGGGGGGGGGGGATTCCATTTGAAAGCAGTCTGGGCTGGGCAGTTCCATCCACATGCTATGCATGGTTTCACACAAGCTGAGCAAGAGGGTGTCTGTCCTTGAAAACCCTCCTCAAGTCAAAGACAAGAGGGACAGATGAGCACAGCAGTCTCGGGAATTCCGTCGCGGTAGCGGCCTTTCCAGGTTAGTAGAGTTGTCCTGAGTGTGACACAGACACTCTGGGCCCTTTTTAGTGTCTAACAAACACAGTCACCAACAGGACTGATTGCTGACTGGACACACACCTTAACAGATCACGGTTCTCGCCAGAAAGGACTCTAACACCTGACGTCTAAGTCGTTTTCTCCCGCCTGCTCGCTCATCCATGGTGGCTGTCCGGCCTCTCAGAGCCACCAGCAGCGTCACCCTTCCATGAAGCAGGCAGCTTTCAGGATTGCTCCAGAGCCACACTATGGTTTAAGCGTGGAATCCGGGGGCATTTTCTGGAAGCCACAACTTCCCAACTGTTGCCAGCAGTTTGCTTTTTATCCTTCGCGAGTCCTCCAGGATTCCGTACCTATTCACTGGCCAGAGCAGCAGACCGACTGAGCCACTTTCATTAGTATGCACTCTGCAGGGGGTCTTAGTGTTCGCTGGAAACCTCTGGGAGTTTCCAGGGGTTGGTAATAAGAATCTTTGGGAGGTTAGGTGGAAAGAGGAAATCTCTTGGGGAGAGAGAGAGAAAGGAGAAAATAACACGAATATCCATTATCATAAGCTACTCTCTGGATCTTCCCAGGAGGCAGAAACCCGTGAGTGCCAATGGTATGGGGTCTATGGATGCTCTGTATAACTTATTATTACCCAATAAATATTTTGTTTGTTTATTTATTATTTTTTAAAAATATGTTTGTATTGATTTTAGAGAAGAAGGGAAATTGAGAGAGAGACCGAAACATCAATGATAAGACTGGATCACAGATCGGCTGCCTCCTACTGGGGATTGAGTCTGCAACGTAGGCATATGCCCTTGACTGGAATCGAACATGGGACTCTTCAGTCTGCACGCCGACGCTCTATCCACTGAGCCAAACCAGCAAGGGCCCAATATATTTTTAAGTGAATGCTTAGGAATCAGGTTAATTCATGGCAATTTATCAGACAGGAATCATTTAATATGTCAAATCAATTCTTATATACTGCCTAAACCTGATGGCATATTTTAGCACTCATTTATTTTCAAATTACACATCCATATGGGTGGATTATTCAGGCTTTGGGGGCAAAGAGTGACAAATTATAAATCCATATGGGTGGATTATTCAGGCTTTGGGGGCAAAGAGTGACTTTAATTTTTTATTTTTTTAAACCATCAAGATGACATACCGGTAAACAATAATTTCAAAGTCATAAATATTATGAATGTACTCATAATGATAAATGCCATTTATGCACAAGGTTTTTTTTTAATGCTCAGGATCTGAGCTCGGAGATGATGTCAAAGCCTTTGGAAACATGTAAACAACCCACCAACAAAAAACCTTGATCCACATCTGACATGTTTATCAACAGCTGAAACGGTCTTCTATCTGACAGAGCCGTCAGGCCTGTGGGCGCCACGGGAAACCTTGCTCAGGAGTTTACAAAATCCACGCAAGAAGCTGGGGCTTCCAACCTCTGGCCTTTGTTTTTCTGTTGCACGTGTGCGAATGTGTCCTCTAACTTAGTGTCTAAATATGTTCTCTAACTTACATGTGTAAATGTGTTCTCTAAACGTGTATAAATGTGTTCTCTAAATGTGTATAAATGTGTTCTCTAACTTATTTGTCTAACTTAAGTGTGTAAATGTGTTCTCTACTTTTGTGTTGGGTGTTTCGTGTTTGTACTCACTGGAATGCCTGTGAAGGTAACTGGAGGTGACTGCCAGGAGACACTGAAGCTGCTGCCATTGGGGGTGAACTTGGCCGATCCTGGGATGGTCACGGGGGGCGTGGCCTGTCAAAGAGCAAACAGAAAGGGTCACAGGGTGGCATGGTACAGAGAACACTAAGAAGCATTTCTCCTCAATCTGAGCTATCATTTACCAAGGTGGGCCTCAAAAGTGACCTCAGCTGTATTAGTAATTAGACTAATTATCTGAAACATGGTCAGAGAGTAGCTGAAAAGAAACTCTTTATATGTCTAAGCAATCTATCTAATGTATCGAAGGGGATGGTTTTTGACTAACAATAAGAGAACACTGGAGACAATTTGATTGAACTTCATGAGGAAAATTTCTGAATTTTACAACAGCTATGAGATATAATTTCTCACTACCAAATTTGGAAATAAACACTTTTATACAGGGGTGGTGGGGTGTAATTGGTACAACATTTGGGAGGGTAATTAGGCAATATATATGTAAAAAATTTTAGAATTTTGTATATTAGCTATTCTACTTCTAGAATTCATTCTAAGGAATGATTACAAGGATGTTCATTGTGTTATATTTTAAAACGTTGGAAACACAAATGTCTAATAATGGGGAAATGGGGAAATAAATTATGATATACCAACCGAGCCACTACAAACAATGTTGTCAAAGAATACGCAACTACATGCAAAGACATTCATGAGCCCTGGCCCATGTGACTAAGCGGTGACAGCATGTCTGTGCATGGAAGGCTCTCGAGTTCTCGAAGTCAAGGCCACATACCTGGGTACAGGTTCGCTCTGGACTCTGGTCTGGGTGCATGTGGGAGGCAACCGATCAATGTCTCTCTCTTACACTGATGTTTCCTTCTCTTTCCTCCTCTCTCCTCTCTCTTTTTTGTTAAGTCCCTTTGTGAGGATTTAACCACAAAAAAACCACCACATTTATGATATAGTCAGTGGGGAAAAAAACAAGCATAGGAAAACAGTACTACAATAGAATCCTTAGGGTTTTTTTTATACATATACACATAGGAGAAAGTCTTGAAAGACATACCAAAAATATTAACCAGAGGCTTTCTTGTCATTGGGATTCGGGATACATTTTCTCTCTCTGCTTTGGTTTTTAGCAAATCTATGCTGAACATTTATAATATCTACAGAGAAATCCCAAATATTATGAACATAGGGTTCAGGAAGATCAAGTGTGTGTCCCAACCCACTTTACAGATAAACAAAATAATTTCATTAAGTTGGTTCAAGCAAATGATTTTGGACCTAAATGCAAACATGAACAAAAGAATGAGTTACTCTTTTTGACCCACTTAACGAGTCAGGAATAAAACTTGTAGCACCATCTAATCTAATAATTTGCTCTAGTTCATTGCTCTTGAGCATCAGTCTGCTAACGAAGTTTAGCTTTTCGAAGGATACGTCTAGTTGTGATGGAGGTGGCTTTGTTTGGCACCACGGAAGCATCTGGGCAATGCTTAGCAGCAGCATCCTGTTCAGGCTGCATCCTCTGACTCAGTAATTCCTCCTCTGTGACTTCAAAGGGGAAGAAAAGCTACAGGCACAGAGATGTCCATAGTGGAGTTATTAATGAAGAAACGGGGTAACACTAGTACCTAACAATGGGAGAACATTGGAGACAATTTGATTGAACTTCTTGATGAACATGAACTCAGCTACGGGGCTACTGTGAGGGATGCTGCTTTTCTATCCCAGGTCGGAACGCACTGCTGTTGGTCAGGGGCAGTGCCCCGCAGGGTGGTGCACGGCACCTGATAAGCGTGGTCGGTGTGCACGAGGTAGAGGGTGGTCGGGGCCGAGCGGCTCAAGGGCGTCATCAGTTTCGTCTCGGCTTTGGCACCAGGGCTTTCCGTTCTGCTTGAGTCCGGGATGGGGAAGGTGGGAGGTGAAGCCAGGGACTGGGAGGGCGAAGCCGGGGCCAGGCCGCCCAGTCCGTCTGCCACCGCGTCCGTGTGGAGCTTGATCTCCGTGTAGTAGAAGTCCTCCTCACCGTCGCTGTAGTCAGACTCCCCAGCACGCCTAATGCAGAGGACAGCAAAGCAGTCAGACGATGCCACCGCGCAGGCTGTGCCTCTGCCTGGAACGTCTTCCTTTCCCGTGTCTGCCTGGCAAACGCTTACTCATCCTGTAACACCCCGCTGTCCACTTCCAGGGAACAACCTCTTAGAGGACTTCATTCAAACAATCAACCAAGCAATTACTTATTCAATTATTATTTGGGAATCTGCTCTGTGGAGGCACTCTCCTCCAGTCTCATGGTATCATGGTGACCAAGACATAGTTGGATTCTGCCCTGATGAAAGTTACAGCTAGTGGGAGAGGCAGACAAGGGAGCCACAAACAGGTATTTAGTGCATCAGGGAGTGATGAATCCCCCAGGCCAGCACCACACTATTTATTGTTTGTGTCTATGGGTATGCGTACATGCATGCAAGGTCTTTGGTTACCACCCCCCGTCCCTGAGATTAAAGGGATTGCTCAACATGAAGACCCCGATGAGCCTGACAGTGGGAGGGGAGGGGAGCGACGAGCCCGGTCTGGGATGTATGCTGAGGGTTGGATAAGGACCTCACTCCTCAATGTGCCCCCTGGCGGTGGTCACTTTATTTAAATCGTGTTATTAAGTTACTTCGCACATTTCTGTAAGTTTTAACCTCTGCTGCTTCCTGACAACATTCTCTAGGGCTTTGGTGTCCACAACCAACCTGAAATGTCCCACTGTCCTGTCGTCACGGCATTCAGCTCAGGGTCTAAGCCTTAGTCGGTAAGGCAAAGGCGGTCCTCTCCCCAGTCCCAGAGCTAACCCTAACCCTAACCCTAACCCTCACCCTCACCCTCACCCTAGAGCACAGAGCACAAAGGGAGCCCAGGAAGCAATGAACTTGGCCACTGTGAGAGCACCCGGAGCTCAAAGGGAATGGGTGGTGCCGCCTACTCTGCAGGATTCAACGGGCAGACGGGCACGGCTTCTGCCGGCGCTGCACAGGGTGCGATTCTCTGGGCACATGGGCCTGACAACAGGCCCCCTGCACCCTGAGCGAGGCTCCGGGAGGCTCTCTCTGGGCCTTCAGAGACGCTGAGCTATTCCTGCCGAGGTCGCCCTGACACGAGGTCAGGGAGACACGCCCGACTTCCTCCCTGGCACTCTCAGGAGCAGCACTGGGCGGCTGCCCAGAGGGTGCAGGGCAACCCTGAGCCACACCTACGGGGTGACCCGCACCGGTGCTCTGGAGGGATGGCCTACGTCGCAGTCCCAGGTCCCTCTCCCCCCCCCGCCCCCCACCCGGTCAGCAAACCCCGCTGGAGCCCTGGGTTTCCTTCCTGCCCGCTGCTGTGCCTGCTGCCTGTCCCACATGCTCCGTGCTGGGAGCGCCTGCGGTGCCATCTCTCATCTCGTGGAGGGGGTTGCTCTGGCCCAGGCGTCTGCACCGCCTGTCACCACGTGCAGCTTCTCTAGGGCCCCTTCCAGTCCCAAGTCCCTGGACAAGAGGGACCCAGAGCCCCCAGGCCAAGACGGGGAACCACCGCTGCCCGGGAGGGGCCTCGCCAACGGGCCCCAAGCTTTGGTTTGTCTTTCCTGAGGGAGGTTTTCATAAAACACAGGGAGACATAGAGGCAGGTCCTGGAGATCACGGCCATAGCTAGAGCTGCTCTGATGGGCACAGTGATGCCTAACCCTTTTTAGGCTCAAAGTCACGAGTACCCTCCATCAGAGTGGGGGGAAAAAAAGTACATTTACATTTATAGACATCCTCAGGGGGGTTCTGTCCTGCCTGGTGTTGTCTTTTTACAAACGGCTCTCACCACGTTTTATTGCTGACCTTCACATGTGACCCCTGCAGCGCTGACTGTATTGCTAACCTAATCGTCGGAGGGAACCGGGGCGCAGAGCAGTCACTAACACCCCTCGGTGAAGTACAACTTGCGGTAAGGGCCTCTGTTATCTGCCCCCCTCTGCCGCCCCCCCCCCCCCGGGGCCCAGGCCCTTCCTGCACTCAGCCCGGGCACTTCTGAGCACAGCTGCCGGCTGGGGCCCGCGCCCAGCGGAGGGAGGAGCCTCACCCCAGGTGGACGCCGCGGATGTGCTTCTGGATCCCGGCCGCGGTGCTCAGCACCTTCCCGCAGTTCTTCCAGAGGCACTTGAACATCACCTTCATGGAGTTCTGGAGAGGGGAGAGGGCGGACAGGGAAGGGAAAATGAGCCTGTGGGCCAACACGCCTCCTTCCTCTTTGCTCGGAGCCCATCCCGACCTCACAGCATGAGTGGCAGATTCCACCCCGCGAGGAGGCTCTGCCTGTCCACGGGAGGAAGCTGTGCTGCTCAGATCCACCCCCACCTGCTGCGCCGAGGGTGGCCTCTGTGTCCATGGCCCTGCCCGTGGTCTAGGCTGGGCCTGGCCCAGGAGGCTGTGGACTCGCAGCCCCTTCTGCCGGCCAAGCTGGGCGTGGCTGCCTTCTCCTCCGAAAACCACCTCTCCCGCCGCCGGTATTTCAGAGTTTCGGTAACAATGGGTTCTGGAAGCTCCTCTCTATTGTGCCTGCAGGCTTAGGGGAGGTGAGGGCCTCGCCCTATAGTAAGCTCTTGGGATCCTGGGCAACCACCCCACCCTAGCCCTGTCTACACCTTTGCAAAGAGCCCCTCCAAACTCTTTTTAAATGCTTAAACACTGTTATTGATTTGAAAGAGAGAGGAAAGGAGAGAGAAAGAGAGAGGAAAGGAGAGAGAGAGCTCCTGTTCCACTGTCCACACATTCATCGGTAGATTCCTGTACGTGCCCAGCCCAGCAATCGAATCCACCACCTTGGTGCATCGGAACAACACTCTCACCGCCTGAGCCACCTGGCCAGGCCGCCCAGCTCTGTTTACCCGCTGAGCACATCGCCCTCTCCGGCCAGGCCCTGGGGTGCGGGAAAAGTAGGGTATGAAGGAATATGAGCGCCGTGATCATTCTGGGGGTGTGATGCGGTGCAAACACACATGCCTTCCTGCGCGGTGAAGTGCTGGGGAGGGGCCGCTTATTCAGACATGAGTTTCCAAATATAAAAATCACCCTGTTTTTAATAGTAAAAAGGTATTTCTTTGTAATGGAGGTCCCCCTACAGTATTTGCAGGACTAACTTTGGAGAATAAGAGCATCAGGGAATGGGCTCAACTTTAATGGAATCAGCGGTCTCTGTTCATAGGTGAAGGTGCTCCACATCACCTAAGGGCCCCTTGCCAACATCCGACTATGCCCACGAAACACTCCTCCCTGCAGACAGAGCCATTCAGGTTAAAAAATAAAAATAAAAATATTTTAACTGATTTCAGAGAGGGCGAGATAGAAACATCAATGATGAGAGAGAATCATTGATAAGTTGCCTCCTGCATGCCTCTCACTGGGGACTGAGCCCACAACCTGGGCATGTGCCCTTGACTAGAATCGAACCCAGGACCCTTCAGTCTTCAAGCTGATGCTCTTATCCACTGAGCCAAACCGGCCAGGGCCAGAGAGCCACTCTCATACGGCAGAAAAGCAAACCCTGCAGGAGGAGACTGGAGACAACATTTAACATGGCCCAGCCCGCCCCATGGGCCCCAGCTCTGCCAGGGCAGCCAAACCAAGCCCAGCTGCAGGCACAAGCGCAGCTGCCCATCTGACCATGACCATCTGCGCTCAAACCCTGGCTTCTCCCGGCAGCTGCACCGACATTCAGGAGGCTGAAGGCCCCTGTGCCCACAGGCGTGCCTGGTCTGACACGGCCACGCCCGGGGCAGCCGGCTGGGCGGGGACCAGCAGGCCCTGCAGACCCACCAGCTCAGGCTGTCCCGGGGACCGGGAGGGTCTCCATCCCTGACACTGCCGTGTGGCTGAGGGGCCAGGCTGCCTCGCTCTCTCCCCTGAAGCCTCCGCCGGGTGTGAGCTGTCACCCACGTGGATTCCTCGAGTGGCTTCCACTTCCTGACAGAACCCCGGCTAACACTGAGGCCTGGCACAGGCCAATCCCTCCAGTTCCTGGGGATGGGCCCACCTGCGTCCTGACGGTCCAGACTCATCCCTGGGCCAGTCCGCTCAGAGCTGCCGGCTCACCCGCCCCGGGCCCACTCCCAGCTGCCTTTCCCTCAGGTGTGTGCACACGGTGATGAGGGTGTGTGCGTGTGTGTACGTGTGAACATGTGTTCTGGGGCGGAGGCTCGGACAGGAGGACCCGGGCTCAGAGGAAGGAGCACAGGTGAGCTCACGGCATCGTCCTCAGCACCTCAGGTGGGCGGCCCTCACTGTGGGCAGCGGCTCAGTGCCACCCTCTCCTTTCTCCTTGGCTCCGGCAGCTGCATGGTCGTGCCTGGTGGCCCGTTCCCGGGCAGCGGGTTTTCCTGCCCACGTGCTGCTCAGCGGGCGTCAGGAATGCCATCTGCCGACAGGTGCTCCCTCGTGCGCGGGCCTCACCGTCTCTCCCACTTTGGAGCAAGTCCTGCTTTCTGGCGTGAAAGCCTGAGCGTGGTTCGCTCATGATTACTCCCGGCAGCCGGCAGTTAACCGGCACTCCTCCCTGACTCCAGGACCCCCGTGTGCACGGCAAAGGGCCATGGCCAGGACACCTGCAGGGAGAGGTCTGGGTGGGCTCAGCTCACCGTCAGACCAGGGTGCGCCCCTCCTCTGTGAGGGCCTGACGGTCATTACCACGTGCCCGCTCCCGGGCGGGTCTCAGGGCCACAGTGGCCTGTCTGTGATGGTCACTCTGCATCTTCCTGCTGCCTCGGTGAGGGAGTAACTATATTTGCTTGTGTTGCAGGTGAAGAAGCCCATGGTCAGAGAAGGGAGATGACTTTCTGAAGCTGGCAGGCTAGCCAAGCTGAGCTGAGCCTGGGACTCCTGTGACTTCTGATCAGGCCCCTTCCTGTCCCACAGCTCGTGTTCTCTCCCCATGCCTGGTGAACCAGCGAGACAGAAGCGCGGAGAAACAAGGCCCCGGTCGCGCACAACGCGCCGGATTCTGTCCAGTTCGAGAACCCAGTGCTACTTATTCTCAGCTCATTGAGCTGCTTCCAGCAGGCACTGTGCAAGCACAGGGCCCTGCGCTGAGTCCCGGCCACCACGCTGCCACCCCTGACGGCAGCCGGGGACACACTCAGATGACCCAGGAGAAGGCCTGTGAGGCCTGATGCACCAGGATGGTTCTCACTCCCCATCGCTGTCCGGTAGTTCACCGACTGGTCAGGCGAACACGATGCCTCCCAGGCCCAGCCCCAGCCCGCTGGCTGGTGCGGAGCAGCATCTTCATGCCCCGCCTCCAGCCTCCACAGCGGCACATGCAGAGGATGGGCTGCAGGGGATGGGGCGGAGTGCGGGAGGGGCAGGGCTGGGTCGATGCCGAAGAAATAAATTGGGGGAAGAGGTTGCATGGCAGTCCTCAGGTTTGCTTTGGGTTTTTGTTTGTGAAAAGTGATTCCTAAGGAAGCTACTGAGAAGGACTTAAAGGACCAATGTAGCAGCCTCACATGGACATGGCCATCAAAAGCATCGTGAAAAGGTATTCCAGATGGAGCAGCCGATTGCTTCATCCCACAGAGTGAAACACTTCTGGAAAATTGTGAGTGGTCCTGACAGTGTAAATACACACAAAGAGGAAGGAAAGAATCTGAGCTTTAGGTTCGGATCTGCCCTTCCATCCTCAGAACAGGGCAAGCTCAATGTCGAATCTCCCCGATCCTCAATGGCCTCAAATCAAGTTGGGAGAATGATGCCTACTGGCCCTGGCAGGCTTGCTCAGTGGTTAGAGCACATGGTCAGCGCTGGGCACCGCTGTCCACGCGGCAGCAGGCGGCCGAGGGGGCAAGCTCACCCTGCTGGCTCTGCCTGCCCGGCCCTGGGCGGGTGCTGACCCTCAGAGAGGGAGCGGGAGGAGGGCTGACCTTTCTCTTCCTGGGGATGGGCTCGTCGAAGAGCAGGCTGCCGGCCTCGGCCTCGTCGATGCCGTCGTCGGGCGCGGGGCTGCGGAAGGGCTTGGCGCAGTCGGCGGACAGTGGTGGCGACGGCGTGGACGGGTTGGACTGGTCGCTGGGGGCGCTCCAGCTCCAGTAGCCGCTGCTGCAGCTGCTGGACGCGGCACCGCCCTCCTTCCAGGATCCGCTCATGCCCTCTGCGACCAGACAACCAGCGTCAGTGCGGGGGTGCAGGGCAGGGGACGCGGACACAGGGCGGGCCTGGACCTTACTAAGCACATCCAGCACCGCCCCCCGAAATGTGCTTCAGCTCGGGGTGCACTGTGCATAGCTCGGGAAAAGAGATGCGAGACCCTTTGTAAACACTGAGCTACTTTAACCACACGACAGGCTTTCCTAACAGTTTCTGATGTGGGTGGTTTGGGCACGTCCTGCCTCGGGATGACAGTGGGGGGTGGGGAGTGGGTGGGCATGAAAACAAGAAAGAAAAGGGTGCTTTTGTTCACTAACTTTGGGGCGCTCTGAGTTTACTGTGTTTCTAAGAGGGAAATCATCTGCAATATTGTCCCTCTCCCCCAACCCGTATTTCTCACGGGTCTGAGACCTTTGGAATAGGTTTTCGGAAAAAGCTGGTCCCAGGTGTCAGAGTCTAAGAGAAAGAACGATCTCGGAGAGTTACCCAAGGCCACTGACACGATGAGACGAAACAGTGCCTTGCATTGTTGTTTCCGTCTCACAAAGCTCATTCACACAGCCCCGTGCGTGCTCACAGCACTGTCTCTCGGAGCAAGGACTCCGTGTGGGTTTTGCAGACGAGGACCTGAGGCACAGGGAGTGGTGACGCGCCACGTGGCCAGGAGCGGACCCGGCCCAGACCCTGGTCTACCAGTTGGCTTCTTTCTCCTTCAGGGCCTGGGTCTCGTGTGGTAGGATTCCTCCTCTTTTCCAGCCACGCTGAGATCAGAGAACGTATGGACAACGCTTACTGGTGAGAGGCTGCTGAGTTCTCCCTTCGCACTATGGGGAACAGGAAGTGTTTGCTGATGCGGAGAGATCTCTGTCCAGTTAGCACGCCTTGGGAGGCTCCTTACAGACCTGACCTCCTTTTTGGATAATTTCTCCTCCATATGTATGTGCATTTTGAATACCTTAAAACTATATTTTAAATTCAAGGGAGGGGGGTTCCCTAAATGTCTCAGTATGCTGTTAACATTGGCGTAATTAGTAACCAAGAGAAGACACCCAATGGACCAGCATTTGTGGGAAAATGACCACCTTCACCCAACCACAGATTTCTAGCATATTCCTCAACTGTGTCAAGCACAATGTTCCGTTAGAGCACATGTGTCAAACACAAGGCCCGCAGGCCAAATCCGTCCCACCAGGCCTTGCAATGTGGCCCGCACGGCGCTATCATCACTGCACTCCGCTGCGTTTCCATCACAATGACAGTTTATGACTGTTCAGTAAACCATTCGGCCCTCGATTTAGGCTGGATTTTAGATTTTGGCCCCTTCTCTGATTGAGTTCGACACCCCTACGTTAGAGGAATGAAGTGTTAAGTTGAAATCGTGGAAGAAAGTGATTAAAGCATCTCTGCAGGTGTCACATCTCATTAAAGCAAGGCTCTTCCCAATCAATGGCCATTTCTGCAGGATCAAGCCTTTCTGGCACCAACACAACCCAATCAGCACCGCACCCCCTGCAGTTCCCGGCCAGTGCTCACCAGGCCCGAGAGCCTTTCCGAACGAGACAGCTGCGTTCTGCAGTCCTCCAGGGCCTCCGGGGCATGCCCAACGGACACACTCCTGGCAGCTCAGGAGGCTGTGATACAGCACAGCATGCGCTGGTGAAGGAAGCGTGTGGTGCCAGCGGGTGGTCAGGGTAGGTGGCTACGCAGAGCAGGGGAGGTGACTGGGGCCTGAGTTGATTTTGAAAAGCAACAACGTATTTTGAAAAGCAGTGAGTCCATTGCCTCATGTCAATGCCCAAAGTTCAGTTGCTGACTTGGGAATGACGTTTCCTTTAAGAAACACTATTCAATGAGAAGGACAATGTGACACAGAAATGAATTTTTCAGGAAAAGTCAGAACCAATTTGAGATTCAGACACTGAGTGGCCAGATTATTATGATTTCTGAATATATATATATATATTAGAGGCCCAGGTGCATGAATTCATGCAGGGGTGGGGTCCAGCCAGCCTGGCCAGGGGGAGGGGACACGGGCGATTGACCTGCCTGCCTATTGGTCGAACTCCTGGTCGAGGGGACAATTTGCACATTAGCCTTTTATTAGATAGGATATACACTGAGTGGCCAGATTATTATGAGTTCAGAGATCATAATAATCTGGCACTCAGTGTATATGGCTGTGTCTCCTTCCCTGACACACGCATTTGGTGAAATGCAGACAGCCGTGCTGGAAGCTCACCCTCTCTGCAGATCCACTTCCTGACAAAACGATCCTTTCTAGGCTCAAAAAGAATCACAACAGTTTTAAAAAATTCACTGATAGACAATAATTCTGGACATAGATTCACCAACACCTTCAGTATCATTAACTGCTTTCCCTGCCTGCTGCAGACAATTTGGGATTATAAAGTGGGTGGGTGTTTTTTGAAATCATAACGAACAATGAATTCTTTTCTGTATAACTACCGTATGCTAATAAAGGTTTGTGTGGCAGAAGCAAACGGTTTATTTTGATTCCAACCTTTCAAGACAAAGGAGCATTAAAAATGTTCTCAATTAAAGAAGAATGCCATGTAAAAATACTGATTGCATTAAAATACACTTTCTTCTCTGAGGAATCTATGACATTCTGCAGTTCCTTTTTTTTCCTTCTCTTTTCTGGAAAACAATGAGAATCTACAATTTATTGGCATTTGGTGGCCCAGCGTGGGACAAGCCCTTGTCTGTAACGTTGAGGAATCTTTTCTCTATAAACTCTTCAACCTTTTATGTAGCTCCTTTCCCCGGAGATCAGTTTGGGGGTGTCTTCAGGTTTGCCTTCCCCGAAGTCTTCCTCAGGGGCCTGGCCACACTGAGCGGCGGGAGCTGGGAGGCCGGTGAGAGGCCCGGCAGAGCAGGTGTTCCCTCAGCAGCGACACCAGGCTCCCTCCCTCCCGGCACCGCCCGGCACCGCATGCTGCAGTGGTGACACCGTGTGCGGTGGTCGAGATGGGCTGGGGCACTCCCGTGGACGGTGTGGATTTGACTTCCCGGCACCTCGGTCTTTCTTTGCACCGGCAGCTGCAGTGGAGTGCATTTTGGGGAGTTCTCACTGGATGTTCAACAGATTTGTTTTCACACTGGGTGCTTACCCCCAACCTATGTGTGCGCCTCACCTCAGTCTCCTAGCTGGCCAGTCTGGCTTTGGAGAAGGGTCCCCTTGCAGTAGCTTCCACTCCGGGGCCTCGTGTTCATTCAGCCCACTCCCTCCTCAGGCAGTCCACCGAGCGCTCTTGCCAGAAATCAGTGCCTTCGTCTGGGTGCTGGACTCAGCCTGCTTCATGCGTGAGCTTCTGAAGCATCAGACGTCTGTGCTTGAACATCGCTTTTCCCTCAGCTTCCAGGAACCCACGTTCTCCCCCCTCCTCACCGCTGGTCCCCCTCAGGTTCTTTCCCCGAAGTGAGGGAGGGCCTCACCCCACCTTTCAGTCCCCTCCCAGTTTTCACTCACCGCCTCCACATGACTCAGTGATCTCCCCTCCCCTCATGGCTTCCGCACAGCAGCCCAGACCTCGCCAGCCGCTGCCCCTGAATGAGCCTCGGTGCTGCCCATGGCACACGCTCCTCCTGGGCCTGCCGACGTCTTCAGTGACTCAGCTCCTGCCCGAACACTCACTGACAGACTCACTGGTATGTGTGGGCGTTCTCAGGGGCAGGCCTCTGTGCTGAGGCCCCTGACGGCCCGGAGGGCACCTGGCACTCCTCCTCCTCCATCCCTTTGTCCATCCCCCCATCCCGGTGACTCCTCCTTCCTCCCATTTCTCGGTTAATGTTCTGTCCGTCCCCTCTGGGACCACCAGGGTCCAGGACAGTCGGAGAGTTTGTTGTTGCTGTTTCCTTTTGTTTTTGTCTGGAAGCCCAGCTGTGACTGTCCAGGGCTGAAGCCACGTTGTGGCTCTCTGGCAGCCGCAGACGAACGTCCGTGCTCCTGGCCAGGCCTCCGTCACCGCCGCTGCCCTCCTATCCTCACAGTGAGCAGTGAGCCCCCAGTGGCCATGACTGACATGGCAGACCAGAGTCGGAGGATGCAGGGAGAATTTCAGCTTTGCTGTTTACAAGTCAATTAATCCCATGTGCCTCCATCACTCATCTGTAAAACAGCGACAATGATAGCCACAGGGTTGTGTGAATGACGTGAGACAGAGGGAGCACGGGCTCGGGAAGTGCTGCCCCTGACGAGGCTGTGACTGGGAGCCTTTCCCCGGAGACCGAGCACTGCATGGGACTATGGGCGTATACCGCAACGACACACCCACACCGTCTAGCACAGCACCCGGTAAGCACCCCCTGAGTGATGAACGGACTGAATCATGGTGTGTGACCCAGGAGTCTGGGACAATGCCTCTGTGCTCTGACCCAACTGCCTCTCCTGGAACAGAAACAACGCTGGGAAAGAGCTCCATTCACCCGGGGAAGGGGCAGGGCGCTGCGGTGAGTGCCCTGGACACGGGGCGTGCGGGAGCGGGTGGAGGGGTGACTGTGGGGTCTCTGGGAAGACGAGGAAGCTGGCCTGGGCCCCCATTTCTCCCACACTGCCCCTGTTCCTGCTCGCGGGGAGGCGTACTCATTCCATTTGATGGGAAAGAGACCCCCAAAGGGGGCTGTGCTCATGGTGCCCTCCCTATGCCCATCCCGCCCGCCCTCCCCTCACCCCAGCTCACCGTTCGGCCGCACGGGCGGGCTGCGGACCAAAGGGCTCGTGGACAGGCTGGTGAGTACCATGGCCGCTGTCACCTTGTCCATGTCCAGTTCCTCCGAGGACTTCCTGGAAAACAGGGAGGGCACTGTCAGCCGTGCTCGCTCTGCATGGACGGGAGGCCCTGCCACCTACCATCACAGGAGACAGCAGAGGCGGGGGGGGGGGGGTACGCCCCAGTGAGCCCTCTGGGGGAGACAGGACCGAGCAGCGATTCCCAGTGGCGGAGTGAAGACTGCCATCACTCACCGAGACGGACACGCACTGGGATGGACCAGTCCTGCTGGCTCATGAATTTTGGCCAGTTAATCCCAAAGAAAGTGACAATGGTCATGTGGACAGCAGTCAGCTGACCTGGGCTGATTTCCACGAAGGAGCTAACATCGAACATGCCTGCAGTACACCGGCGTCAGAACCCGCGCCCCCTCCTGCACGAGCACTCCCAGGGGGCGGTGAGGAGCCCGCGGGGGACTCCGTGTGGGTAGGAGCGGCCCCACCGACAAACGTGCCTTCTTCCGGCCCGCCGCTGCCTCCTGAAAGCAACGGAGTCGCAGAGAAAAGTCAAACTTCTCCCGTCCAGGGGGTGGGGCTGCTCAACTGATTCCAGGACAAACGTATGAAAAGTTAACGGTTTGGCTCTCCAGCGAACCCCAGGACGCTCAGTTACAGAGCAAAGTGCCCGTCCAGTCCTGGCCGGGGACCTGCAATCCCTGTCTGTAGTCCTCAAAGCTCCTGCTCTCTTTCTTGGAAAACTGTTCTAGCCCAAGACCAATTCCCTTTCTCAAGGCTGGCAATGAGAGATGCTTCCAGAAGGCGAGCTTGCGGGCACACGCGGGAGGTACCCTGCAGGTTCTCAGGACCACCCGGAGCAGCGGGGGAGCTGCCCGGGCCCCTGGCGCACCCCGGAAAGACCACAGCGCCCACAGGCCACAGGCCTGGGACTGGGGAGCAGAGGGAGGCCAGCTTCCTGCAGAAACGGGAGCAGCGAGGGAAGGACTTAGAGCACCTTCAGGTCACTGATGCTCACGCACCCCTCCACCCCCATTCAGGCGTGTGAGTGTCACCAGGGCCACCAGGAGAAAGGCCTGCTGGGCACACTGTCCGCGGCTGCAGCCAGAGCCCGCCGTCACCACAGCCCCCCACGGGGCGGGAACAGGAGCAGGCCACCATCATCGTCCCAGACAGAATGACTGGAGCTCCTCCTGCTCCGCCTCCTCTTTTTAACAGAAGGGCTGAGAGCCGGGATCAGGGGCCCGGGAGCTGGCCGCTGGGCAACGGCAGGTCCCTAATTCCTACAGGGACAGCCTCTGCGGCCACACTTCTTTCTAGTCCTTGGTTTCAGGAACCTCCACTTTCCCTCCTGTAATCTGCTTTACATTGTTTTATTTTATTTTTAAAATATATTTTATTGATTTTTTTACAGAGAGGAAGGGAGAGGGATAGAGAGTTAGAAACATCGATGAGAGAGAATCATAGATCAGCTGCCTCTTGCACACCCCATACTGGGGATGTGCCCACAACAACGGTACATGTCCTTGACCAGAATCGAACCCGGGATCTTTCAGTCCACAGGCTGATGCTCTATCCACTGAGCCAAACCAGTTTTGGCTGCTTTGCATTGTTTTAAGTTTTTCACATTAAGGTCTGTTTTAGAGGTTTAGTCAATAATTAACTTAAAAGCTGGTCTATGTGGTTTTTTTTTTTTTTAAATATGAAGATCAATAGCGAAAGTGTCATATAAAATACGAATTTTTTGCAAAGTCTGCCACTACCTTTCAACACCATGATCAGAAAGCAGGTTCCCAATAAAGAGCAAAACGCAGAGCAGTTACAGAGCAAAACGCAAACGTCAGCCTCATCGGAGCTCTGTGTGTGGCCATCTTTGGCTCCCGTGGGCCGGGAGGTCACACGGACACCCTGCGACCTGCTGCTCACCCGGCGAGCCTGTGGTCTCGGGGAGGGTGTCACGCCGCCTGGAACGCGGGGCGTGGCATGTTCTGTTTTTTATCCGTGTTTATTTCTTTCGGTGCATTGCCATCTAATTACTGATTAATTGGTTCTGCAAATGCAAATCCTGGTAATTAAATGCGAAGAGATGATGCTCCACGTGGGACTTGTCACACTCGGGAAAGCGTTGCTGAAGCCGCCCGCGGCCGTGGGCTGCTGGAGGAAAAGCCCGCTCTCCGGGTGATCAGACGGAGAGTTTCCTCTGATGGGAACGGACTCGGACCCCCTGTGGAAGGCTGCCCAGCCCCACGCTCACAGCGGCGAGCCTGTCCGAAGAACTTCCTTCCCAGCCCTGGCTGAGTATCACGGGACTGTAGAACTAGTTCTTAAATAGCCCTTCGCCTTGTCCCTCTGAGGTGCTTTGTCGCTCAGCTGAGGGGCTGTGGTGGACGAGCAGGATCTCCAGACGCGAGAGCCACATTTCAGGGAGGAAGCAGGCGAGTCCGTGGCTGGCAAACCGCGTGGGCATCCTGGTTGGAGATGTGGGGGGAGAGGAGAGGGCACGGGCAGACTGCCCTGAGAAGGCGCAGGACGCTCAGCGCGGTGCCGGGCAGGGGGACAGGGACAGGCCTGGGAGCACGGAGGTGTTTCGATGGCCAGGCTTCGGGGAGGTCAGGTCAGGTCAGGTGAGGGCAGTGGTTGGCAAACTGCGGCTCGTGAGCCACATGCGACTCGCCAGCCACATGCGACTCGCCAGCCGCGATTTGCCCCTCTATTGACAACCACTGGGATCGGGGCTTAATCACAAGGAACAACAACAGCCTGTAATTATTGGAATCGAGAGTCTAGGTCAGTGGTCGGCAAACTCATTAGTCAACAAAGCGGCAAACCATGGCTTGAGAGCCACAGTTTGCCATCCACTGGGTTAGGGAGATGCCCTCAGACTTGCTTTTCAAAAAGTGCATCTGGCTGCCGGGTGGGAAATGAGTTTCTTGGGTTTGACAATCGATCTGTTATCAGCCAAACGGACTGTGGCTGCGGGTGGAGGGTGAGGTCATCTGTGACAGCGAGGTCCTCAGGCGTGGCACGGATCGGCAGGCTCAGCACCGACAGGCACGGCGGGCACGGCCCCAGGCCCCGGTGTGCGGTGGCTGCAGGCCTGGCCCCCCGGGCTGCGGCCGGTCTGACAGGCTGTTGTTTCTGTCACAAGAAGCTCTTCCTTCTTTTGAATGCCATCTGCTGGGAGCACGTGTCCATACACCGTCCCCGCTAACCTGGCAGCCAGGAGAGAAGCTTCCGGCCCCAGAGCCGTGACAGACGTTTCCCTGCAGCTGGCCTGCTGCAGTCACAGCGGGAAATGGAAAGGCAGAGCACACCCCTGGGTCAGCACTGATCCCGCTCCCAGCAACTCCTGGAATCGGCCGTCTAGGCCAAGTCCCACCACTTCGAAGACCCACAGTGACCCTCAGACAAGGAGACGGCCTGGCAGTGAGCTCTTCCCTGGAGACACAGCCACACCCCGGCCGTGGACGTGGGCACAGCTCCGGTGAAGAGCCCCACACGGATCCGGTGACGGCCACGGTGGCCACGCAGCAGGAGCACTCTGCTTCTTCCCGAAGGAATCCGTGGCAAAGGCGGTCACTGTTAATGCTCCCTTCCATGGGAGGGGCTCTTGTTAAGGCCACAGGGAAGATGTGTGTGATTCTGCCTGGAGGACATGGAGGGCGTGGAGGGGACCGTGCCCCGGCCCCGAGTCCTGCCCACGGTGGCCGGCCTCTGCCAGGGTCGGCCACATCCAGCCCTCGGAGGAGCTCCCGCGCCTCAGCAGAGGCCACAGCAAATGGTCACACCGTCGGGAAGAGCTCGGCTGTTTCCGCTCGACTCCTGGGGGTGTGGTGGGGCAGGGCCGGCCTGTGTGCAGGGCAGGCGGGGGCCCAGGCGGGCGGGTGGAGGTGCCCTGAGCGGCGGGCAGTCTGCGGGTTAACAGGGCACCTGGTAAGTGCCAGCTGTCCTCGGGCAGAAAACCGTAATCAAGATTACATCTCTCACTCTAACATCCACGGCAGGCTGGATGAGTGACCTCAGGGCCGGAGGCCTCAAGGCCACGTGGGTTTCCATAATGAAAGACCCTCCAGCCACACTCTGTGGAGATACAGTGGTCTCCCGAGGGCGCTGGGAAAAGATGGGTCCAGTGTGTTCTGGTTTGCCGATTAAAGAAAAAGAAGGGGACTTCTGCCTCGATCTAAAACCCAGGCAGAGAAGACTGTATTCCTTATCCCCACGACCTTCATTCCTGAAACAACATTCTTATGTCGTCAGCAGACCTACAGGTGGGCTCCCAGCTGTAGTCATTCTATGTCATTGTTTCTGCAAAGAGAGGGGACGCCTTCTGCTCCGCCAGGCTGCCCAGGAGTGAGAGGGGCACAGGGGACAGAGAGGAGCAGCTGGCACAGCACCAGTCCCTGCTCCGAGAGCCAGGCCTGCCCTCCGGAGCAGCCACTCGCTGGCGGAGGTGAGAGGGGTTGGGGGCTTTTATTCCAGTTGTAAGTTTTGGTTTAGTTCATGCTGAGCTCTCTGGGACCTGTCTGCCAATTTCAGCTCGCGGGGACAGAGCACGGTGGACGCAGCCCTGCCTTACCCGGCTTGTGCTCTGAAGCGGGGACCCACAGGTACCTGTTGTAGACAGAATTAATCCCTTTTAAATCTGCTTAAGTTTCAGATTTGGCGAAAATGTAATCCTCCACCCCCCCCCCCCCCCCGAAATGCATCTTCATTTTCTTAACTAATATTCAGGATTCCCAGTGCTGGAGTCTTCACTCACACTGTCGAAGTGCCTCCGTGGCCGGTATTACTAACACCCCATCTACACACGCCTTCCCAGCGCGCAGGCCGCCAGCCAGGCTGCGGAATGCCAGTGGCCCCAGGGGGGTCTTCAATCCACACACCATGCTCTCTGCACGGTCACCTCCATGACCTCGATTTAAATCTGAGACGTGCTTGTCCTCTTCTCTCATTAAACTACATCTGTGAGCTAACTGCAGCCTGTGTACACACTTTTCCTGTGTTACACTTACAAACATCTTACCGTGAAAAGGATTTCTTTTATACACATGGGTGACAGA